ATGGTGTGGTAGGCTGAATAATGACCCCCTGGAACTTGTGAGCATTGTCTTATGTGGTAAAGAAGAAGTTTACAGATGTGATTAAGTTCAAGATCTTGAGATGGGCAGATCATTCTGGATTTCTCAGATGGGCCTTAAATACCATCCATATATCCTTATACGAGGGAGGCAGACAGAAGAGGAGGGCATATGCCCGCAGAAGCAGAGATTGGAGTGTTGTGGCCACAAGCCAAGGAATGACAACAACCAGTGGATTTTCCCCCAAAGCCTCTGGAGGGAGTATGGCCCTGCCAACACCTTGATTTTGGTCTAGTGAAAATGACTTCATATTTCTGGCCTCCAGAATTAAAATACAATATATTTCTGTGGTTTTAAGCCACCAAACTCATGTTAATTTGTTACAAAACCATGGGAAACTAGTATATATGGATACACTTGTACTCTCAATTTTCTTCTTATTCTGTGGACAATTTAGTGTGTTGAATTGTGTTCCCCAAAAATATATGCACAAGTCATTGCCCATAGTACCCATGAATGTGAACTTATTTGGATATAGAGTCTTTGCAGATATAATTAAGTTAAGGCTCTTGAGATGAGATCACATTGGTTTTAGGGTAGGTCCCAAATCCAATGACTGGCATTCTTAAGAGAAAGGTGGGAGAGATTTGAGATAAAGAGACAGATGAGAAGGCCATGTGGAGAGAGGTGAGATTGGAGTTATGCCACCATAAGCCAAAGAACTCCAGGTGTGGCAGATATGGTCCCCTTTTTCTGTTTTATTCTATGGGCATAGCCAGGGTCTATATATTTTTTCTTATTCCATGCAAATTACTGGGGATTCATTTTCCCCTAACTTTATGGATATAACCAAGGTGCATATTTCTTTAAGTAGATCAATTTTTAATGTATTTGGCCCCATGTTCATAGATTTTCTGATATGGTCCGTTGAATATTACTTTTTCTTCCTCAGGTCCACAGTCCAATGGGTATAGCTCAGGTTTCCAAGGCAGTCTGCACACACATTACTCAGAACCCTTATGCATCTATTTGACAATGGTGCTCCTGCAGCTTTGGCTCAGGGTGTTCCAAAGTGGCCACTTCCATCAGCTGGACAAGTCTTACAAGGCAGGCTTTGAGGGTCAGGGGTGATGTTGTAACAGGTCCTAGTAGGATTTTCACACTGGAGGGTGGTCTGGGTCCCCAGCATTTGGGGTCTGACAGACCATGAGCTTCAGTGTGTGGGTTCAGAGTCTTGAAAGAATCACCCAGAAGATGTTTCCAAGCACTGACCGATGCCTGACCTGGGAACAGGTTGTTTGGTACATGGATTTAGTTTCCACCACAAACCAAGATTAGTAGTTTTTCCCATTCTCATATTATAGATGAAGAAACTGAGGCTCAGAGATTAACTGTCTCTCCGAGTCACCCAGCAAGGGATCTGAACCCAGGAGAGTTGGATTGCAAGGTAGTACTCACATGCTCCTTCCCAAAGACTAAGGTCCTATTTATTTTTGAACATTTTAACCTTTATTTTGTGGAATTTAAGAAACAAAACAGATGAACATGGGGAAAGGAAGGAAAAATAAAATAAGATGAAAATCCAGCTATTGCACTATTAGGTATTAACCCCAAAGATACAGATGTAGTAGGGGCACCTGCACCCCAATGTTCATAGCAGCAATGTCTACAATAGTCAAATTGTGGGAGGAGCTGAGATGTCCTTCAGCAGATGAACGGGTAAAGAAGATGTGGTTTATATATACAATGGAATATTACTCAGCCATCAGAAATGATGAATATTTACCATTTACATCGACATGGATGGAACTGGAGGGTATTATGCTATGTGAAATAAGTCAATTGGAGAAAGACAAATATATAGTTTCACTCATGTGTGGGATATAAGAAATAGCGCAGAGGATCATAGGGGAAGGGAGGAAAACTGAATGGGAAGAAATCAGAGAGGTAGACAAACCATGAGAGACTCTTCACTCTAGGAAACATACTGAAGGTTGCTGGAGGGGTGGTGGGTGGGGGGATGGGGTAACTGGGTGATGAGCATTGGGAAGGGCATGTGATGTGATGAGCACTGGGTGTTATATGCAACTAATGAATTGTTGAACATTACATCTGAAACTAAGGATGAAACGTGTTAGCTAATTGAATTTATTTATTTTTATTTTTTTATTATGTTATGTTAGTCACCATATGGTACATCATTAGTTTTTTTTTCTGTTGTCTTTTTTAAAAAATTTTTTACTGTTATGTTAATCACCATACGTTACATCATTAGTTTTTGATGTAGTGTTCCATGATTCATTGTTTGCGTATAACACCCAGTGCTCTATGCAATCCATGCCCTCCTTAATACCCATCACCGGGCTAACCCATCTCCCCACCCGCCTCCCCTCTAAAACCCTCAGTTTGTTTCCCAGAGTCCATAATCTCTCATGGTTCATCTGTCTCTCTGATTTCCCCCCCTTCATTTTTCCCTTCCTTCTCCTAATGTCCTCCATGCTATTCCTTATGTTCCACAAATAAGTGAAACCATATGATAATTGACTTTCTCTGCTTGACTTATTTCACTTAGCATAATCTCCTCCTGTTCCATTCATGTTGATGAAAAAGTTGGGTATTCATCCTTTCTGATGGCTGAGTAATATTCCATTGTATATATGGACCACATCTTCTTTATCCATTCATCTGTTGAAGGGCATCTTGTCTCTTTCCACAGTTTGGCTATTGTGGACATTGCTGCTATGAACATTGCAGTGCATGTGGCCCTTCTTTTCACTACATCTGTGTCTTTGGGGTAAATACCCAGTAGTGCAATTGCTGGGTCATAGGGCGGCTCTATTTTTAACTTTTTGAGGAACCTCCACACTGTTTTCCAAAGTGGCTGTATCAACTTGCATTCCCACCAACAGTGTAAGAGGGTTCCCCTTTCTCCACATCCTCGCCAACATTTGTTGTTTCCTGTCTGGTTCATTTTTGCCATTCTAACTGGTATAAGGTGGTATCTCAATGTGGTTTTGATTTGAATTTCCCTGATGGCTAATGATGATGAACATTTTTTCATGTGTCTGTTAGCCATTTGTATGTCTTCTTTGGAGAAGTGTCCATGTCTTCTGCCCATTTTTTGACTTGATTATTTGTTTTTTGGGTGTTGAGTTTGAGAAGTTATTTATAGATCTTGGATGTCAGCCCTTTATCTGTAGTATCATTTGCAAATATCTAATTAAAAAAATAAGATGAAAACAAAGAGGGAGGAAAGTCATAAGAGACTCTTAACTCTAGGAAACAAACTGAGGGTTGCTGAAGAGAATTCTATCCCTGAAACTAATAATATAGTATATGTTAACTAAATTGAATTTAAACAAAAAAATTTAAAGAAATTAACCTTTATTTTGAAATAATTTCATACTTACAAAAAGGCTACAAAAATAACATAAAATATTCACCCCAAATGTTAGCATCTCATGTAAGTACAGTGCGAAGGTAAAAACTAGGAAGTTAACATCAGTGCAGTGCTATGAACTGATCTACAGACTTGATTCACATTTCATCATTTGTCCCACTAATTCTTTTTTTCTGCTGCAGGACCCCATTCAGGATCCCACCTTAACAAAAGTTTAAAAAATGTGGAGTTATTACAGGCTTCTGGATGCAGGTGATGGGTTCAGTGCATGTTACCCCCAAATTTGGCACTTTGGTGCATTGAAGATCTTAAGCCTAAGGAGTTTGAGAAAATGGCGATGCAGGAAGGACAATCTGATCATCCTCCACCCCCCACCCGGAGACCTTCTTCCCTAAAAACAGAAGATAAATCTCCCACGTGAAAGGTACCTTCCATGTACCAGGAAGATGGAGGACATCCTTATACCCAGAGATGGAAGATAAGGCTGTATAAACAAACCTTGTTATCTCTTCACCATTTATTATTCCTAGTCCAACCCCCCTTGTCTTGTCTATTCTTCACACATTTATTGTTTCTTTGTCTACAGGGTATATAAGCTTTTTGTTCTGGCCACTTCTTCACGTCTTCATTTTCTTGTGAAGGCTCCATGCCTATACAAAATGTGAATAAAACATGTATGCTTTTCTCCTGTTAGTTTAATTCTTAGGTCCAGCCAGAGACCCAAAGAGGGTTGAGGAAAATTTTTCCTGCCCCAAATAAGCAACACCTAACCTTCAGGGGTCTTCAGGATTAATTTATGAACAAGGATCAGAGTTTATTCCCTCCTCACAGGGAGGCTAATATTACCTCACAAAGATCTGCTGGGGTCACACCAAGATAGCAAGAGCTAGTGCCAGGGTCTGCAGGTACAGTGGGATCCAGCAGGCAGAAATCTGTGGTGAGAAAGGAGGCAGGAGAGTAAAGAGAACCTAGCTGTAAAGGAGGCATAGGGAATAGTTGATGGCTGGGTTAAACAGGTAGAATCCACAATAGGTAAGTAGAATGTATCACACCCTGTCCCATATCTTGATTCCTCATATCCCAGTTCAAATATTACCTTCTCCATAAGTCTTCCCCAATTCCCACCAATGGCGCTTCTCTGTCCCATATACTTCTTATGGCATAGCACTATAAAGCTCTGTTCTAGGGGCTTTCTTCCTCGATAAATATGAAGGCAAGGAGAGGGTCTTGCCCATCTTGGCTGGTGTTTAGAAATTACACTTGCCTGAATAATGGAAGAACCAAGTGGGTATCATAAATATGTGGAAAATGTACAAACTTGAAAGAGAGTTGAGCAACCATGCAGGGAGATTTCCTGGGTTGGTCCTTTGGTCAGATTGGGGGCAGAGCCCTGAAAGGATAAGGCTGGGGTCTCAATCTCAATTGGAGGCAGAGCCCTGAAAGGATAAGGCTGAGGTCTCTGGGGTCTCAACCTGGGCAAGCCCACTGGGCAAAGGCCGCTGCGGGATGGTGAATGAGTTGCATTCTGGCTCCAACCCCGCCCTGGCAGGTGCAGTGGATAGGAGGTTTCTGAGGCTGCAAGATGGGAGTTGGATGCTGGAGGAACCCTCTGTTGCTGTTGGCTGCCCTGGTCCTGGAAGCCAGACTAGGTCATTTTCAAAGGTGGGAAGGCTTCCAGGAGAAGTCCATGAGCAAGACAAACATGAATTCAACACTCCAATTCTTCATGGAAACCTACAACAATGCTAGCAATGACACCTACTTATTTCAAGTCGACAAGCTACTTCGAAGTCAGATGCAGGTTTGTGCCTCAGTTCCTGTGGATGTGGGCAGTGCCCACTTGGACATCCGGGGACATGGTATGGCTCCCAGAGAGAATCAAGTGATGGTTTCACCAAGGTGGGGGGAGGCTTCATTTGGGATGAGCATGCTTTGGAGTTGTTTGGACCCCAGACTTGCCTTCACCATGCTTTGAAATGCTAGCCAAATGACTGGAATGAAACCTTACTCTGTTACTCTTGGTCTGAAGTAAAAACAGCTTCTGAGGTTCTCAACTGTTCTTTCTTGGGAAGAATTGCCTTTTGTTCTGAAATTCGTCCTACCAGAGTGACAGCTGATGAAGATGACTTTGTTTCTGCTTTGGTGAAATATAAATGTTCTCTGTAGGTTCCCCCTCAACATAGTTTTTCAGTGTCCAGGGCTGTCAAGTCTGAACTTTCTAGTTGTACTCTATAGAAATCTGGGATTGCACAGGACATTTTTTGGGGGTGGAAAGGAGAGGGGGGAGTGAGAAACAGACTTCAATCAGATCATCTCTCTTTTTATGTGTTTTGCATACAAAGTTTTTTGAAATACATCAATTGAGGGTGATTGAGGAAAGAAAAGTTGTTTGAAAACCACTTTCATGGGTCCAACTTCCCTTCAAGTTTACATAGTAAACTATACGTTAGTTAGGGCAGAAGCAATAGCACATTTTAGTTCAATTAACCCGATTTGGAAAAAAAAAAATTGACAGAAGAAAATGTCTCTGGCCGGGAGAGAGAGGGGCAGTGGGAACAGGAGAAACCAGCAAGGGTGGGGCGCAGAGAGGGGCAGGCAGTGTTAGTGTGACACGAAGCAGGCCTGACATCACAATGTGGACATCAGCCTGTCCCTGTTTCAATCACATACTCTTGCCCCAAGATGGTGGCTCATCAGGCCCACAAACACTGAGGTGACTTGGACACAAGGTGGCGGCTGTTGACCAAAATTCTTGCCAAGTTGGCTTGTTCTCCCAGGTCATGTTTCCCAAGGATAAATCTGAGACTCCCAGGAGGTCTGTCTTGTGGAATCAGTCCATTATCATTAACAGTTAACTCTCGAAGAATAGTTTATGAACAATCTTTTAATGTCATTCAGATGGATAAAAGAACAGAGTGTGTGTGCCCCGACGTAGCTAGGTGACCTGGGTCCTTTCGCCACATGATTGTGTGCGTCCTAATACCCCACAGAGGGGTGTAGGAGGTGGGCCTGATGAGCTGCCTGCACCCAGGTTCCAGGTCCCTCTAATTGTGAGCTCTATGTCAAGCGCCATTCATACTCTCCAGGCCTGTTTCCTCACCTGCAAGTGGGCAGAATAAGAGTGAAGCCGCACTTGTGAAAATATTTGTATGACTATGACGATTCCTCTTATTACCTAGCAATCCAGTCTAATAATGAATGCTAAAACACTTTGCACACTGGAATGTCAGTAAAATTTATGGCCAGTGTTTTAGATTTTTCATACCTATGGAGTATGCTGAAGGTCAGTGTGAAAGCCCTGCAAGATGCCAACACCTGGATGGAACCATCGTCCTTTGATGAAGAGCTTGGAGCCCTGCATCCCGAAGTTCTTCCGGTGGCAGATGCTGGGACCAAGATGGCCATAACGCCCTCAGGCCCCCCCCCCCCCCCCGCAACCACCCTGGGCTTTTCTGGGGGCACTTTCCTCTAGGGGGCAGTGTGGCTGCTCTCTCCCTCTACCACCACCAGGGAGAGCACCAAGCCCTCTCTGTTGGTTTGACCCTAACATAGGGACAAGGAAGCAGGGAACTTCCAGGAGCTTCTCCCCTCCCCATGGCAGAGCTCTCTATTCCGTGTGTTGACTTGAGGGACCCAGCCATTTCCAACAGAGGACATGAATCACCAAAGCATTTGTTGGAGTTTCACTTCAGGGTGCAGGTCCTGCCACAAAAGGCTTTCCCAGCATCCCTGCCCTCACAGTCCTTACAGCCTGGCACTTGATCATGAGCACAACAAGACAGATCCCAACAGCTGGGAATAGCCCTGGTGTGTGTTCTCCATGGTTTACACATTCACTGTTTGCATACACCCTAGGAGGAAATTGGCACTCTTCTTCCCATTCTCTAGATGAGGAAACTGAGTCAGAGAGGTGGCAGGGCTTGGACAAGGAGATAGAGTTAGCAGGGGATAAAGCCAGAACTTGAGCACAGTTCTTCTGTCTTCAGTTCTGTTGCTTTCCTAACACCATAGCTGCTTCAGAGTAATGTTCCCCACACTTTGCTAAAACATTTAATAATTCGTAATAAATTATTTTAAAATTTGCTTTGTGCATTCAGTGAGATGCATGCTTCTCTTTAGCCCATGCAACAACTCCTTGAGCAGGCATAATTATTATCTGGACTCTGTAGTTGAAGAAAGGGAGGCTGCTGGGCATTTGCTCAAGGGTGAAGTTGTTAGTAGGAGGGAAATGAATGCCCCAAATCAATTCAGTTTCTAAGCCTGTGTTTTTTAGCTGTGTTTTTAAACTGCTTTCCATCAGGTTGGTTGGGAAGGAGAGTAGGGAGGGATGAAAAGGATGAAACGGAGGGACAAGATGCACCCCTATGCATTCTGAGGATCATGTGTATAGATATAGGGGGTATTCTGGGGCTGCCAGGCAGCCAAGCTCAATGTCTTGCCAATCCCTCATCCTGAGGTTGCAAGGGAGACAAATGAGAAGCCATCTGTGACTGCAAAAGTGAGGCCAGTCCAAAGCAAGGGGAAGGGCTCTGCACATGCTGGGGGCCGACCAAGGGCCTCAGCTGTCACTGTGCATCCTCCAGCTGGGAGGAGAAGAGGGAGCCATGCTTTTACTGGATGAGCTCTGGAAACAGGGATTGTGGCTCCTGGGGCTTCATCTCCTAGGTTTTCCTGGGGAGGGTCAGCAACTGGATGCTTGGAGTCAACACTAACAGTGTTGCTGTTTCTCGGTAGCTCACGACTGGAGTGGAGTATATGGTAACTGTGAAAATTAGCCGGACCAAATGCAAGAGGAATAGCACAAGTAATTCATGCCCCATTCAAAGCAAAAAGAAGCTGAAAAAGGTGTGTGGTGGCAGTCATCTGAGCAGGGATTGTATCGCTTCTCGGCCTTTTGGCTAAGATCAAGTGGAGCAGGGACTTGTGATCAAAGGGGGAAGAGTAAAATTTTAAAAAGTAGACCACAAGTGGACATTGACAGCTTTTCTAGCTGTGTAGATATGGGCCTTAGGGCTGCTTGATGCCATTGGAGGTGCCCAGAGGTGGGAGGAAGGCTCTCTAATTGGGCAGTCTCCCCACCCTGAGCTGTCATAGCCCAGGCCCCTGGCAGTCTCACCCCTGCCCCTCAGGTGGAAGTGGTTTCCTTTCCCTGGGGCCTCGCTCTGCCCTCGGCTCATACTCTCTATATCCCTGGGAATTGTCTAGTTTCCTTCTTGTCTTCCAACCTCTGCCCATCTTTTCTGGCTTTTCCCAGTACCACCTGGTGCAACCACCTGCAAGCTGGCAGACACGAGGGACACTCTGTGCCTGAGTGCAGGAGCAGGAGGACTGGGGCTGTGGGCAGTGCAGCTGTCCCAGGCTGTCCTGCCCAGACTTCATCCCAGCATCTGGCTGGGCTGCAGGCTCCAGGCTCCAGACCTGTTTCAGGTCCCAGTGACTGGACAGGGGGCACCCAGGGTGACATCCCTGTTCAGGCCAGCCCCACTCTGCCCCCACCATGTGACTGTGAACAGATCCCCCTCACCCATGTGGTCATTGAGCAGACACAGAGACTGGTCCAGATTCCCCAGATAAGGGCTTGTTGGGGGGCAGGAGCTTTTTGTTCACCTTCAAAAAATATTTCCCTGAAGGCTGTTTTCTTTCTCCTTCCACAGAGTTTCATTTGTGATTTTTTGGTGTACACTGTGCCCTGGATGAACTATTACCAACTCTGGAACAACTCTTGTCTGGAGGCTTGAATGCATTGGTGCAAAGATGTATGATAAAAACTTAGATGGTCACACTGTGCACTTTCTATTAGACTTCTGAAGGGCCTCATCTCCCTCAACAGGATCTCCACACACCTGCTTGTACTCATGCACACATGCACACTCATATATGTGCATGTGCAGACTCACAACGCACTCATACACAGACACACTCACACATATGCAGACACACACTCATGCACATGTTCAGTGGCCCTTAGGGGGTGGGTGCAATTTGAACAGAAGGATGTTAACTCTTTGGAGGAAACTCATAGTTTTTCTACTTCAGTGCATGTCTCTGAGGTTTGTTGTGATTCAGGAAATTTCTGACCACCAGCCTGAGCTTGCAGGAGCTCTGTTTCCTCCCCATACTCTCTGTAACTTACGTATCTTTGTGAATGTGGCTGAGGTGCCCAAGTTCACTGGTTCAGTAACTCAATAGAAAGACCCTCAGGACTCAGCACACAGTTGTACTCACAGCTATGACTTATTACAGTGAAAGGGTATAAGACAAAATCAGCAACGGGGAAAAAGTTAATGTGGAAAAGTTCAGGGAACTAGGTGCAGGTTTCCAGACTCCTTTCCTGGTGCAGTCAGACGGTATGCGCTTAATTCCCCAGCAGTGAGTTGTGATAACATGTGTGAAATGTATTTCCCAGGGAAGCTCATTAGAGACTCAGTGCCATGGGTTTTTCCCTGCACATAGGCAGCTTCTGCCTAAGGCGTGTCCAAACTTCAGACTCCCAGAAGGAAAAAAGGTATTCAGCATAAGTCACATTGTATAAACAGTATAGACACAATGAGGTCCTCCCATCACTTAGGGAGAGTTTTATATCAGTGTAGGGAACTGTTTGCCATCCAAGTTCCCACACTCCAACCAAGGCCAACTTCACAAGTGGGCCTTTCCAAGGACAGCAGTCTGGGCTGGCCGTGTGAACTCTTTTCTTCAGAGAGAGCTCCTGAGCCTCCCATGTGCTCATTGTTGGAGGAATGAGACCTACAGCGTCTTCCCTCATGTGACTCATAGTTGAGCAGAGTAGGTGTTCACTGGACCAGAAATGGGGATCAGATGAAGGCTGAGAAACTCCTCAGTGACCAGACCCACCAGCACACTTATAATGGCAACTTGAGAGAGGATTTCCAAAGGGGAAGAGTAAACACACAAATAAGAACCTCAAATTCACCTGAGTGTCTTGAGAGAGAAGGGAGAGCGGAGGTGCAGTGTTAAAGGTGGTGAAATTCTCATGCAAGAGAGAAGCCAGAAGCATCCAGTTCTTCAAATCTAATGTCATTGAAGGCTGAGTGGGTGATTTGCATGGGCCTGCTGTCCTCACTTTCTCATTTGGTTATCACAACAGCCTATGAAATAGCAACTCTCACCTCCATGGTACAGGTGAGGAGCCTCTCCAGATCCTACCATTCTAGCTGAGTTTGGCCTGTTGGTTGAGCTTTTACAAATGGAATCATACAATATATATTCTTTTGTTTCTGGCTTCTTTCATTCAACATATTTCTGTGTAATTGTAGCTCACTTTAAGATTGTGTAGAGTTCTATTTTGTGATTATACCACACTATACTTATCTATTCTACTGATAATGAACTTTATGGTAGTTTCTAGTTTCTAAGAATAAAAGCTATTAAGAATAAATATGCATGTGTGTGTCTAATGGTAGACATATGCATGAGTTTCTGTCGAGTACACAACTAAGAGTGGAATCCTGGATAATAGGATATGTGTACATTCAGCTTTTAGCTAATTTACTCAAGATTTTTTTAACATTTTAAAATTTTTTACTTAATTTGCCTCTCTAATGCTATTTAATTATTGATTTAAACCTTGTTCAACTTCTAAGTTCTTACTTTTAAAAATATCTTTTAGTTATATGACCTAATTGTTTTGTTTGTAGCTTTATTTTATGTAATTTCAAATGATACTTTATTCTTTTAATAATATTTTACCAAACTTTATGGCTTTGCTTTGAATTTTTAAAGTGACCTCTTCCTGCTCCACCCACCTGTCTTGCTTTTATGAATGGCAGCTAGGAAGGACAGACACAAGGTAGGTCTCTGTGAAAGGAGTGGGGAGTCCAGGCCCTGATGTCTAAGAGACCCAAGACAGTTTTCCTTATGAGAGACAGGCAGAGAAGGATTTAGCAAAGAAACGTGGAGGAGAAGGTGTGTGAAGACAGAGGCAGAGAGGGTAGTGATGTGCCACAGCCCAGCAAAGCCAGCAGCCACCAGAGGCTGGAGGAAGCAAAGAACAGATTCTCCCCTAGAGCCTCTGGGGGGAGCACAGTCCTGCCAACACCTTTAATTTTAGACTTCATGGCTCCAGAACTGTGTGAGAACAAGTTTCTACGGTTTGAAGTCACCAAGTTTGTGAAAATTTGACAGCAGCTATAGGAAGTTATACCCTGGGTTTCCTTTTTGCTTTGTATCTCAGACTTGGAGATGAAGAAGGTGGAAACCTGGAAATGACAACAGGGGCAGATAAAAAAAAAAGTCTCAGCGAAAGGTTGCTCTCTTTGGCCAAAAGGCCAGGATGGGGCAGCCCATTATGACAGAGAGCATTTAGATAAGTGCTTTACTCCAGGAAAATACTGCAGGAAAAATGAGGCTCCACAATCCCTTGACCCCCTGGCAAAGGCTGAGTGGGGAATGTAGATTTTCACCCTCTTGAGACTGTAATGAGGAACCTAGCACTCAAGTTGAAATGGTGTCAGAGAAAGCCAAATAGGGTGCCAGAGCTTTTACCTCACTGAATGTCAACATGCCCCCCCACTCCCTGTGGTGATAGTGGAGGCCACATGGAAAGCCGGGACTTCTGTGTCTCCCCACTGAGCTAGTGTGAGAAGAGGCATGTGGGGAGTACTGATGAGACACTCCTGCCCTTTCCAGTGAGAATAGTATCAGCAGAGGCCTGGGTGGGGAGGCTGAATTCCCATCCCATCCAACTGTGATGAGGAATCCCCCCCACCTGTGTCAACAGAGGCTGAATGAGGAACCTAGCCTTCAGTCCCCACTTGGCAGTGATGAGGTGGTGTCCCTCTTCCCTGCAGAGCACTGTCAGAGGAGGCCTGCTAAGAGACATATAAGTGAGATCCAGAAGCACAATATGAAAACACCCAGGTTTTAATAGACAATCACTTGTCCTACTAAGAATAAGGAAAATGTCAACTTAAATGAGAAGAGACAATGAACAGATGCTAACATAGAGATGACACAGATCTTAAAATCATCTCATAAGGATTGTGGAAGGAGCTGAGATGTCCTTCAACAGATGAATGGATAAAGAAGATGTGGTTCATATATAAAATGGAATATTACTCAGCCATCAGAAAGGATGAATACCCACCATTTCATAAGGATTTTAAAGCAGTCATCATAAAGTGCTGCAATGATTAATTGTCAACATGCTTCAAACAAATGAAAAAATGGGAAGTCTCAGAAAAGATACAATCTCAGCAAAGAAATAGAAGATGTAAAGAAAAACAAGTGGAAATATTAGAATTGAAAAGTACAATAACAAATACAAAATTAGGGGCATCTGGGTGGCTCAGTCGGTTAAGCATCTGCCTTCGGCTCAGGTCATGATCCCAGGGTTCTGGGATTGAGCCCCACATTGGGCTCCCTGCTCAGCAGGGAGCCTGTTTCTCCCTCTCCTACTCTCCCTGCTCGTGTTCCATCTCTCACTGTGTCTCTCTCTGTCAAATAAATAAATAAATAATCTTTAAATAAAAAATTAAATGTGTGGGCTCACCAGTGGAATGGAAGGAATAGAGAAAAAGTAAATGAACCAGAAGCGAGAAGAATGGAAACTATCCAATCTGAATAACAGTGACAAAGTCGACCAAATAGAAATGAACAGAGCCTCAGAAATTGGTGTAACTGTTACAAAATATCTAACACATTGGAATTGCAGAAAGAGAGGAGAGAGGGGGGCTAAAAAACTATTTGAAGAAATCATGGCTGATCACCTCTCAAATTTGGCAAAAGACATAAACCTATAGATTCAAGAAAGTGAGTAAATCCTAAACAGGATAAACCCAAAGCAATTTACAGCAAAACGCATCAGAGTTAAACTTCTGAAATTTAAAGAAGAAGAAAAAAATCTTGAAAGCAGTGAAAGAGAAAAGGCACCTAACCTTTAGGGGGAAAACCCCAATTTGAATGACAACAGATTTCTCATAATAAACCATGGAGGCCAGAAGAGCTGCAATGTTTTTCAGGGTCTAAACAAAAAGAAAACTGTCAATCCAGAATCCTATATCCACTAAAAATATCCCTCAGGAATAAAGGGGAAATAAGCCATTCTCACATGGAAGGAAACTAGAGAATTTGCACCAGAAGACCTACATTAAAATAACAGCTAAAAGAAGCTCTCTAAATATAAAGGAAATTTAAAAGAAGGATCTTAAAAAAGGCATCAGAAAAGAAGAACATAAAAAGTAAAAATATGGGTAAATACAATAGGATTTCTTTCTTTTGAGTTTTCTAAATTATGTCTGATCATTAAAGCAAAAATTATATCATTTTCTGATGTAGTTCCCAATGTATGTATAAGAAATATTTAGGACATTTGTAAATGAGGAATAATAAAGGGGTGTAAAGGGAGGTAAACTTTCTACATTTCATTCAAACTGGTAAAATATCAACACCAGCAGACTGACAAGTTATGTATTTATAATGTCATATCTAGAGCAATCACCTAGAAGGCTGTGCAAAGAGATATACTCACAAACAGTATAGATACATAAAAATAGAATTCTTTAAAAAATGTTCAAGTAACTCACAGGAAGGAAGAATAAAGAAAACAGAAACAAAATACAGAGAGAAGAAAAAATAAAATAACAGACCTAAGTCCTTTCAGCAATTACATTTAATGGAATGTGTAAACTACATGTAAATGGTCTAAATAAGCCAATTAAAAGACAGAGATTGGAGAGTGGATTAAATAAACATTGACCCAACTATATGCTGTCTACAAGAA